GAATATTTTCATTTCCCCCCAGAATGTTTTATTACAAGAAAAAATTATGATTTTTTACTAGTATATAATAGTAATAGTATATATACTGTATATATATATATATATATACTGTCGTGTGTGTATGTATGTATGTATGTATGTATATATATATTACAAAACCCTGTAACTGTTGATATATTTATAAACACACTTTAATAGTTAATTTAATCATTTTCAGCCTCTTTTAACTGAAAACTTTCAGAAATCATTCTCGCAACTGCAACAAAACTTAATCTACAATAGAAAGAGATTTATGAAGTAAAATAAAATAAAATAAAATAAAATAAAATAAAATAAAATAAAATAAAATAAAATTAAATTAAATTAAATTAAATTAAATTAAATTACCAGTTAAAGTTATTGCAAAAATGGCTCAAATGGATCATTTGATTTCAGATGACACTTTCTTTTTACATTTCAATTATTTTGAGCCCCTTTTAATTGAAAACTACCAGAAGTTTTCACAATTAAGAAAAAAAAACCTAATCTGCAACCCAGAGAGAAAAGAATAGAGATAAATAAAATAAATACAATTATATAAAGTAAAATAAAATAAAAGTTAAAAGCAGTGTTATTTCCATATCATTGGGATACTATTTTTATATTTTCTGCTTTCATGTTAATTTTAGTTAAAGTTTTAGTAATTTTGTTTTGTTGTTGTCATTTTTATTAGTTTTTGTAATTTAAAAACGTCAGTATACTTTTTTTTATTAATTTTCATTTCAGTTTTAGTTTTGGTTATTTTAGTACATCAAGTTAAACAATGAAAATGACAAATGTTGCCTTGGAAACTAGCTGAAATATTTGTTTTATTTCATTGTTTTTTTTTTTATTATTCACTTTTTTTTTGGTAATTGCAAAATTGCTCAGAATATAGTTAGGAAAAATGATCAAAAGATCTACTGATTTCAAATTACATACATTTTTTATTTATTTAAAGTAGATTTTAAAATGTAAAGCAATGCCATACAGTAAATGTGAATTACATACTTTCTACATACAGTCTACATACTTTCTGTAGCCACTAAAAGCATCTACATCAGTAATATGAACCAAAAAGCCTTATTCAAGACAGAATAATAAAAGATTTGGTAAATCTGATTCTTCAACTGTAGAATTTAATCTGCGATATGATGCAAATAGCAATGTGACATCAGAATTTGTACTGGTCTTAAATCAAACCCAAAACAAAAGGTCACAGTTTTGGTTAAGAAAGCTTCAATTATATATTGTTCCCGCTCTCAGACGACATTGTGACCATGGAGACGGAAATAGGAACTAGGAAACCCGAGAATGCAGAGGTGATCCTTCCTCAGGTGAGGAATCAGAGTACCTGAAGCAAAGCTCCTCTCAGTCTGGTCTGCACCTGTGGATGTGTCTGTCTCTGTGTCTGCGTCTCCATCAGTATGAACCTGCCGCTGCTTCTGCTCTGTTTTCTCCTGGAGCTCCTCATGGTGAGCTGTAAGTACAGATTTATACTTCAGTCCTACAAAATCCTTTCAGTGCATTAACACAGTATAGCGGCGTTGAGTGCTGTGCTTTGGGGAGCAGTCGTATACTGTACCTTGAGCAAAGCAATGAAATGTAAGTGAGGTTTTGACTTCAAAAAGACACTCTGGATCATTTCACAAAAAAAGTTTGGGTGACTAATACTTTGAATTTTTATGTGAATAATATCATGACAATTTTAAAATGCCAACGATAATTTTACAAAGTCTGTCTTTTAATTTTAGAATGTATTTTATAATTAAATAATAATAATAATAATAATAATAACAACATATTTAAAAAAAATAAAATAAATTGATGGCATATTGCAATGTTGTAGATTCAAGTTGACAACCCGCAGGAATAGAATAGAATAGAATAGAATAGAAAAAAATAATTGTAATGTTTTAGAATCACAAGAAAAAAGAGCAAAAATAAATAAATCTTTAATATCTTAATTGTTCATTCTATAACACAAAACGAAATATTTTTCCGTGTGAAAACTGTATATGTGTGTGTGTGTGTCTGTATACATATATATAATATATTTAATATAAAATGTTTTTCTGTGCGAAAACTGTATATGTGTGTCTGTATACATAATATATTTAAAATAAAACAACATATATTTTATATATCTCTTAAGTCTCCAGAGGAAAAAAATTGTTGATTTGCCAAAATAACAAATTCTGCAATATAAAGTCAAAAATTTCAATATTAACTTTCATAGTTTATATTATAGTTCATATTATAGTTTTTCAATAGATTTGCTTCTCCTGAGAAAAAGACCCAAATTCACCCAAGACAAAGATTTGTTTTTTTATAATTTTACTGAAGCGCTCATGCTTGATAGAAATATACTGTAAATAATAATGCCAATAGTTCATATTATAGATTTTCAATAGATTTGCTTCTCCTGAGAAAAAGACCCAAATTCACCCAAGACAAAGATTTGTTTTTTTTATAATTTTACTGAAGCGCTCATGCTTGATAGAAATATACTGTAAATAATAATGCCAAGTTTCCTATGCATAAATAAACAAGCAAGTAAATA